ACCAACTCCGCAGAGAGCAGAGGCCTGGGCATAGTGAGAGGTTTCTTCCTTATGCACAGAAGCAGCTTCAGCAGCCAGGTGTTTTTCTAAGGCACCAAGCATGCTAACGACTTCTTAATTGTCAACAAACCGCATCCTGCCATGGCTGGTCAGCCAGACCAGAGGGCTGGGTCTGACCTTTGCCAGGGCTAGAGGACTGGAGTGTTTGATGTTTTCCTAGCTGCCATCTGCCATCCTTTGAGTCTGTCATGGTTGCACCAGCTTGCAGGTTGGCACAGAAACCCAGACTTATGCCAATGTCTTCCTGGTAGAAGAGATAATTAGAATCGGTGTTACTCCAGGGTCACCTGGGGACAAGGCTCTTTCCCTCTCATAATGGGGTGTCCTACACCACACCTACCATTCCAAAGAAGGTGAGATTACAAGTCATTGGCCACAACCTGACATCATTCCTCACACTCCCCCGGATTTCCCAGGGCTTCATGAGTTGACAACTGTCTGATAAGGAGGTGTGCTGATCAGGTTCCCAGCAATGATTCCATTGCTTAAGAGCCACTGTCATGGGCCAGCGAGTCCTTCAGCCAGGAAGTCTTTCTCAAGGTCCAAACAGAAGCTCTGCTGCTTTCTACATGTTCATTTCCTTCATTGGCACGGGTGAGCAGATGGGGCGGACATCTCCAGCCTGCACGTGGACAATGTCTCTGAATGCAGAACCACTAGTCTCCCCTTTCATATGCCGTCCTCTCAAGCTGTCACCATGTGTTTCCCCTACTGCAGTGACAGCCAGGACATGTCCTATCGTCCTTACCCAATGACTAGTGGTAGCAGCCTCTTGGAAAGAGGAACCAGGGTGGCAAACTGCCAGATACAGCTGAATCCTGGTTCCTGGCAGCTGGTTGGCTCATTTTTTTTTTTTTTTCAAAATCTGGACTCCCTTTCTCCTACTTCTTGGGATGCCTGCTAACCTGACTTGCATGAAAGCATCCAGAGAGGGTAAGGTATTGTTTTGCAATAGCTGAAATAACCAAAGAATGAGAACATTGCCTGCTGTAGGGAAATAAGCATCTCACTGCATGGCTAATCCCCATGGGTGCCACCCATCCCTGGGCCTCTAGTTCAGAATCAGGCAATGCTATACTAGCCTCTTGGGCGGAAGGCAAGACCACTCCATCTGCTCCATCATCACCTTCTCCTGATGACCTCTGCTTCCCTGGTATCAGTGGCCCAAGTGTGGCAGCCAAAGGAACAGCTGGCTCTTAGAAGCAATTGTCCCCATGGGTGAACATGGGTTTTTAGAACAACCCTGTCATCCTAACCCCAGAAAGCTCACAGACTCTGTGAGGCCTAAGGAAAGGGGCCTGCTCGGGAATGCCTGCATAGCCTGTGCCTTGGCCAGTGCATGCGAGGCCCCATGCCAGGGAGTGCTGAGATGTGGAGACAGTAGCACCCCCTTTCTTAGGGTTACTGAGGGGGCAGGTGGGAACAGAAAACAGCATGACAGTGACGTGAGTTAGTGTGAGGGTGTCTGTCTAGATAGAAGGGTACTGTAAGGAGTTTGGATGTGCTAACAGGGGAAGATGTTCATGCCTACTGATACACTCTTCAGAAGGCAGTTCCCTGGTCCTCCTCAACCAAAGCCTGCAAGTAACCCAAGGCCAGGCAGGGCAGCCGCAGGCCAGCTACCCGGGGCTTTCCTGTGACCTTCCCCAGAGGTCTTCATAGGATGGCTGCTTCAGGAGGAGAGTCAAGATTCTAGGATGAGACCTAGGGTGGCGTTGCCACCGGTGGGGCACAGAGGTGGCAGGAGATGCCATGGGTCATGGAAGAAAACCACACCCAAGAATGGCAGGCCCACAGAGAGGAATCTGGAGCCAGCCTGACCTTCTTCAACTGTTAGACCGCTCCTCCACACTCACCTGGGCTAGGGGAAGGAGAGAGACCGACTTCCATCCTGTGACTGCTGTCCCGTGTCACCCAGTGCCCCGACTCTACACATCAAGCCCTTCGCTGCCGACACAAGGTGCTGCCAGCCACTCTTGCCTCCCCATGCAGGGCAGTGTGTGGCACTTGGTGCCACCTCAGCCTTCTGTCAACAAGTGCTCTCTCCATGGCCCTGTGTAGCCCAGACAACTCTCCGCTGCCCCACGGACACGTGTATCTGAGCCGGGAGCTCATTTCCACCTGGGTCTTGGCCTTCTCCTTGAGAGTGAGGTCCCTGAAGGAGGAACCATGGCCTCACCCTAGACCCCTGACCACACTGCCTTGGCTCTGAGCAGTTTTCACAGTACCACGTGTGCTTCAACCCAATGCAGCAAGCCCAGCCTCTCCCGCCCTCCAGCAAAGTCACTGCCAGACCTTCACCCCAACTTCAAAGCATAGGGCCATGTGGTTGCTGCTCATTGTGTGGGGGTGTGTCCTAGATTCTCCTGTACTTCCTCCTCCTAGGATGACCAGAAAGGCCCACAGGTCAGGTAGTAGCAATGCTGCTGCCATTACTGCTAGCTACGTCCGGGAAGTAGGTGGGCTAATGTTCAGATTGTCACCTCCAGCCCAAGGTTCGTGCCCCACAGTGAGCCTGCCAAGAAAGCATTCCAGTTTCTTCTCTATGCCCAGTGATACTTCACCCTGGAGACTGCGCAGTCCCTCCCCAAAGCAGGGACTGTGGTCAGCTGGACCTCACAGTGTATGCAAGGTGCTTAGGTGGTGAAGAGCCACACATGAGTCCACTGGGGGACAGTCATCCCACAAAGCCCCACCCCACCACACTGCCTAGTCCAACCCCTTCACCTACTCTAAGTGGATAAACAGTGGAGCAAGGACAGCTCAGGGGAGACCAGGGTGGGGGGATGGTGAGGGGCTGGGAGAAGGGCCTTCCTCAACCTCTGGAGAGCCTGTCTGAAGTGACAGTATAAGAAGGCAAGGGCAGAGAGAGGGGGCTCAGGAAAAGTAATAAACCAGAGAGAATGAAGAACCCTACCCTGGAAAATTCCAGAACTAGACATCTACTGATCAAGAAACACACAGTTCTTGTTGTCCGGCTCCCCCTCCCTGCTCGGAGCCACATCCAAGCCCATATGTGCTAGAAGAGTCTGGGATGACAAGAGAAACTGGGTGGGGTCCCCCACCAAGGAGACAGTTGGAAGAGATGCCCTTCCAAGTGCATGAGCTGCAACGGGGCAGGCAGACGCACCCTGTAGATACTGGGCAGTCAAGAGACCTGGTGTACGGTGCACAGTCCAGCCTGGACAGGCCCCCTTCTCCGTGTACCCCATCCACAAATGGGAGAGAAGTGCCAAAAGGACCCTCAGAGGCTACCCAGAATCCTCTCTTTTCATCTGAGGAAGATGGACTTGGCCACCAAGCAGCAGATCAGATACCAGAATCTAGGCTCCTGCCCCTAACCTGTCACAGAGCTATATCTCCGCAGTTTAATATACAAGGATGGAAAGGCCATAATGAAATAAAAAACTCTGTATGATTAACACAAAAATTAAAAAAGGATTAGTCTCATATTGATTAGTTTCATGTCAACTTGACACCAGCTAGTATCATTTGGGAAGAGGGACTCTCAATTGAGAATATGTCTTCATAAGACTGGCCTATAGGCAAGTCTGCTGGGCATTTTCTTGATTAATGATTGATGTGGGAGGGCCCAACCTAACTGTGGGTGGTGCCAATTCTGGGCATGTGATCCTGAGTTGTCAAAGAAGGTAGGGTGAGCAAGCCAACGAACAGCATTCCTGTATGATTTCTGCTTTGGTTCCTGCCTCCAGGTTCCTGCCCTGCTTGAGTTCCTGGCCTGACTTCCCTCCGTGATGGTCTGTATCTGGAAGTGCGGAAACAAACCCCTTTCTGCCTAAGCTGCTTTTAGTCATGGTGTTTATCACAGCAACAGAAACCCTAACTAAGATGGAAACAATTACAGAAATGTTCTGAGAGTCAACTACAAGACAGTTGTCTCTCCTATACCCTGGGGCAGCAAAGCCCCGGAGCCTAAGAATGATTCAGAACTGAGGGCATTGAGTACCTTCCTTTGGAACAGAATAGAGATGGAGGGGGGGGCGGGGCTTTGCTCTGCTGTTTATCCCTGCAGTGCTGGGGTGCAGGCTAGGGCCTTGACCATGCTAAGCAGGTGCTTGACCACTGAGCAATGGACTAGCACAAGGGACCGAGGTGGGATCACGCCAGTGAGCCAGGCAATGTGTCCCTGAAGCAACCGTAGGATCAAGAGCTGTGGAATCTGAGGTGGGAAGAGGCCAGCTCTGAGGCAGGGCTTGGCTAGGGAGAGTGATTTCTTCAGATCCTAACCCCGTGGTTTTTCACAGGCAGGGACAGGGTATCAGTGAGGGCAGCTGGAAAGGCAGCACACCTAGGTCACCAGGACAGCTCTCCAGAAGTGGCTGCCTCCCTTCCCTCCTGGCCACACAGCCCCTCAGGAAACCCTGGCAGCTTCAAGTGCCAGAATGTGTGAGCAGAAGAACATCCCCTGCCCCAGAACAGCTGCAGACTGAGGAGTCCAGACCTCTGAGATCCTCTACATGTTCCACTGGCCCAGCCCTTCGTAGACCCAGAAAAGAGATGTCCAAAGCACCCCATCATCAACTTCAAACACCCTGAGTCTCAGTGCTTGTGGGCCCACCAACATCAGCACCCAGATTCCCGTTTGCTGACCTGACGCCATACAGTATTTCTTAAAGGATACATCACAGAGCGTCTCACCACCCTCCTCTCAGTGGACGTCTAGGTTGTTACCAGAGGTGGCATTCCATAAAAGGCCACTGAAGAGTAGTCTTCAGAATCCACGTGTTGCGGGTGGGGTACTCCAAGGTGGCCAAGGAATTACGGGAGGCTTCCTACCGGCCCCGAACCCTCCTTGCCCCCATCTTTCTGCTTGCTTCCCTAATTCCCATCATCCAGGACCACCCAAGGGCCAGCCCCAGGGTCCCAGAAAAGCAAGGCACGTGACAGCTCCCAGACGGAGCACAGAGCCGGTTCCCTACCTGCTGTGGCGGGGCTCGCCCTCTGGGGAAGGAACAGCCGTCGTCCAGCTGCTCTCTGCAGTCCGCAGTCCACTGCAGGCAGAAGGGAGGGGTTCAGTGACAGCAGGGCGCGTCCTCACACCCCCCCCCCCCCCCGCCTCCCAGCAGGCTCACTAGGAAATCCGACTTGGCCTTTTCAGTGGCAAACCCACCCCTGAAGACGAGCAGGCCCAAGGTGGCCTATCTAAACACCACCTCAAGGTGGCCCCTGGCTATATGCCTGGGGAAGCCCTAAGTTCACCAAAAGTTAACGTTCCAGCTGCATCCTAAAGTCAACCAAACATAACACCTAGTTATTCTGGACAGTCAGTGGCACCTCTGACCATCTGGCCAGGCTCCAGCCATGCTGGCTGTCTCTCATGCTAAGGGTCACGGCTGGAGCCGGAAGGCAGCAAGTGTGTGTAGCTCTATACACCCAGCTCCAGATGTCTATGGATTTGGCATCATGGAGAAACTGCAGACAGGTCTCAGAAGACTGGCTCAAGCTGAGGAATGTCCCAACGTGTGGCTGACTACCACCTACACATGAGTTCCCCAAGTCTGTCATTTGGAGGGCCCTAGGCCTCACTCTCCATTGGTGACTCAGCGTCTGCGGGGCTGGGGCCAAGGATCAGCATTTTGACAAACTCCCAGGAGCTGCACTGGAAGCCACTGAAATCCATGTGCTCTCTCCCATGCTGTTATCTGTTCGATGGCCACGACAACGCTGGGCAACTCCGTGAAGCTGTCCAGGACTACTGTCATCGCGCAGACACACGGAAGCAGGAAGACAGCCCTCTGCCAAGTGCGAGCTAGCTTCAGGGTGCTGTTAGACATTAGCCAACCTCTCCGATTCTGCCACACACTGACCTCAGCCTTCACTCCAAGTGGCATGCATAGCAGAAAGAGTACAACCTCAGTATAAGCTGAGTAGGGAGGGCTCCAGGCCAGCAAGGCACACTGCGGCTGAGGACAGTATGCCTAGGTCAGGAAAGACCTTTCATTGTGACGCTGATGCCATAGACCAAGTTCAAGTATACTCCAAGGAAATAAAATGAAAGGCACAAAGATAAGCTACAGACCTGACTATAGTTCCTAGAAGCCAGATTTTTAAAAATTAAGTTAAGCAATATGCCTGACATAACCCAATACAGTCAAAATATTATTACTTAAATAGATAATAATTATAATAAAAAAAATAAGGCGGGGCCCATGTCTGTAATCTCATCATGAAGGAAGCCAAGGCAGGAGGTTCCTAAGTTTGAGCTATATGGTAAGAGAAACAAAAACAAATGTTAATTAGCCTTTTGACAACTCAACACAAATCTCGGCCTATCTGGGAAGAAGGAATCTCAACTGAGGACTGAGGAATTGCTTCCATTAGAGTGGCCAGGAGGTAAGCCTGTGGAGCATTTTCTTGATTAGGGATTGATGTGGAAGAGGCCAGACCACTGGGGGCAAGTGCTAGCCCTGGGCATGTGGTCCTGGGTTGTAAGAAAGCAGGCTGAGCAAGCTACAGGGAGGAAGTCAGTAGCGGCCTTCTTCCCTGGCCTCTGCTTCAGTTCCTGACTCTAGGCTCCTGCCTTGAGTTCCTGGCCTGACTTCTTTGGTGATTGACTGTGATGTCAAAGGGTAAGTCAAATAAGGTGTCTTGTCACAGCAATAGAAACCCTAAGACAACATTCTTTGTATACCAAAGTGCACACCTCATATTGGGTGAGTCACATGTGGCCAATCACTCTGTGTTGGACAGTAGGGTTCTGGAGAGAAGGCAAGGCATCAGGGCTACTTCATACCCATCCCAGCTCTCTCTGTACTGACAAGGTGGCCACCTCTCAGGTTCCCTGGTGATCTGGACTCAGGCTGGGCTTCTCAAGACCGGAAGAAGGGAGAAGTCGGGCATGCCCTGTCTCTACTTCTAAAGGCATAACTAACACCAAGTGGGCATTTTTCACTGCTCCAGCCCTCACCACATAGGCTTGCACACATGACCTTGACCCTGGCCTCTGGAAATACCATCTTCTTCCTTGGGCCTCATGTTAAGAGGTGGAAAATGGGACCTGTAAGTAGCTGCTACTTTCTAGTAATTTAGCCTCTTAGGTCTTTTATACAGATAATCAATTCCCAGGATTGTATTTCCTTGGATAGTCTCAAGGCACTTCTCCCCAAAGATTAACTAATTAACAACAGAGAAGCCCCTCAGCCACCACTCTAACCACATAAGATCAATACTCCAGTGACACACAGCAGCAGCATGGACTCCTGATACTGCATGCTGAGCAGGGCATAACACTTTTGAGGGATTCCCCCCCTCCCCCCACTGGTGCCAGCTTTAACGTGATCATGAAAAACACCAGACAACCCAGATTACTGACTTTCACCAAAATCACAGGTGTCACAAAAATGTCAAGACTGTATAAGAAAAGGAAAACCCCAGCTGGGAGGTGGTGGCGCATGCCTTTAATCCCAGCACTTGGGAGGCAGAGGCAGGCGGATGGATCTCTGTGAGTTCGAGGCCCACCTGGGCTACAGAGTTCCAGGAAAGGTGCTAAGCTACACAGAGAAACCCTGTCTCAAAAAAAAAAAAAAAAAAAAAAAAAAAAGGAAATACCAGACAGGAAAACATGGACATTAAATACAAATTTGAATCTCAGGATAGAAGAAGGACATGGTTCTTCATTCTGATGCTTGTGCCATGGTTGTGTGAAGCTGGGTGATATGGGCCACTTGGAACTACTATTGCACTTTCGCTACGAGTCTAAAATAATTTCAAAAAGCAAAAGTAATATATATATATATATATATATGTGAAGACATACACAGACATATATTAAGAGTATCCCTTTGCTTTACATCTTGGCACAACTCCTCTCCTGGGAGGAGCCAGCTGAGGCTGACAGGATAGGTACAGCTGAGGAGCAAAGGGTGTGAGGGAAGCCCTGAGTAAGTGAAGCTGAGTCAATGTGTGTTGTTCACATAGGCACAGCTGTGTCAAGGACCCTACAGCCTCAGGCTCAAGGGGACGGCAAAGCCTTCCTTGGGGGCCCGAGAGCAAGCGTTGACAGTGTGTGTAGAAAATGTCCATCAGAGCTCTCCCTGCTGGATGTTTACAGCCTGGACACTGCTCCCTATTGAGGTTGTTTCTACTGAGGTAAGATAAACAAGCTTCCTTGGTCCAGCTGTGCACCATAATGTAAGCAATAACCCTGCCTCTCTGTTCAGTTGTATGTGATAATAACCCTGCCTCTCTGTTCTGTTGTATGCAATAATAACCCTGCCTCTCTGTTCAGTTGTATGCAATAACCCCGACTCTCTGTTCAGTTGTATGCAATAATAACCCTGCCTCTCTGTTCTGTTGTATGCAATAACCCTGCCTCTCTGTTCAACTTCTATAATGAACAAGCCAAACTTCCAGAGTGCTGAAGTTCCTCCATCTGAGAGCCCCGACCACCCAAACCCCAGCTTTGAGTCTGTGTGTCCATCTGTCTGTCATTCCTTCACTGTACCAGTCAGATCCAAATCCCTGAAGCCATGCAAGGACACAGCAAAGGAGCAAGGTGATTGCTAGCTTCTCTCCTTCTAGGAACCCTAGACACTGGCTGGACAGCATGGATGGGACATCCCATAATGTGGTGACTTGCAGGTGAGTGCAGCTCCTGCTAGGGAGGCTCTACATACATCTGTGTGCAAGCACATCCCCCAGTGAGCCGGCCCAGGCCTAGCAAGGCAGCTCTATTGTATCCACCAAATCACTTCCTGAGTTCCTCCTTACCGAGCATATGCCAGAACAAGCAGGGCAACATGTCTGCCAGCAGCGGTGTGGAGAGGGATGAGGACATGAAACAGAAACGAGGAAAAACATGATCTCCACAGGGGCTGGGAGGGGAAGGGCATGGATGGCCCATGAGAACACTCTCAGGGTTCCCAGAGAAGGGTGCTCCAGAGCTGGTGGAATCAAAACGGAGGCAGTGGGCAGCTTGGAGGCATACTCCAGCTGTGAGGCTATAGAAGTCAGTGCCATTTCCCCCATGGAGACAGTATAGCTCTCACCAGGCAGCACCTCCCTGGAGTGGCTAGGGATGCAGAGCTGGCCCAGGGGGTAGTGGGTCAGGGCCAGGTTCCATGTTTCTCAGTGGTGGTAAAGTTGCAAATGAAGGAAGGGACTAGAGCGTGGGAGTGGGGTGGGGCAAGGAGCAGAAAGTGAGTGTTCCATGTAGGGAAAGGCGAACATGGTGATGGCGCCCGCAGAACCATCAGACCCAGTGAGTCTGACCCAAGCCCAGCCCCCAGTAGAACAGGGATGGTGGTTCTGCCCGAGCAGTACCCCTGGCACCCAAGGGAGCCAGCCATCAAGCATGAACGATCACCAAGTCACCCACTGGCCTTGTGGGGCTCCTACTCGAATGGTCCAGCCCTGGAAAAGCCTGGGCTATCATTTCCATGTGGCTGCCCGAGTCACAGGGATGTGTGTCTCTGCCCTGGTCCTCAAAGCTCTGGGAACCCCTTTCCAAAACTCCTCCAGCCTGTGGCTGGATGCCACCCTTAGCATTTTCTTTCTTCTCATGTTATAGCCTGTATTGCCTGCTTCCTTTGGTCCTTCTCAATGCTGCCTAGAGAGCTCCAGATAGATTCCCCCAAACCTAGCTGAATCTGTTGGGATGACTCTAGGGCAGAGTGGGGCCCTCTTCTCAAATTCTCAGTTCCAGTCTGAATCCGCACACATAGATCCCCTGTCCTTCAGGGCGAATGAGCTCACATTTTAGACCTCTGGACCATGAAGGTCCTCTAGGGACTGGGGGTGGTATCCACCTTACAAAGGTCCTCCAGCAAAAGAGTCAGGACACGCAGGGGAATGGTGCATGTGGGAATACCGAATGTGGAGTACACACCCCACGGCTTTAGACCTTCCGCCATAGCTGCTGTAATTTATATCTTTATTTAAAAATCTGGAATGACTATAGATCACAGGGTTAAGATTTGACAAACACTGGAGTATTAGATGTTTATTCTGAACTCAAAATGCTTATTCCACCATTCTCTGCTCTTAATCTGTA